TAATCCATGTTCCACCACTTTCCACAGATGCTGCTTGAGGACTCAGAGCATGGAGATCAAATGGAAGAGAAAATCCAGCAGTATCAGCAAGTCAAGCTGGTCCCGGCGGTGGTGGAGCAGGACTGGTGCGTGGTTGTCTCCAACCTGCTGGCCATGCCAGAGCATGACACTCGGGAGAAGGTCCTCAAGCTGGTGGGCATGCTGATGGCCTTCTGCAAGGAGCGCTACCAGGGGGACCAGGCCCTCAGCACCACCCTCAGCCTTCTGCGCAGCGAGTACGAGGAGCTGGCAGCGGAGGAGCAGAGGGAGGGTGACAGAGACGGCTATTTCAAGGAACTCCTTGGTTCTGTAAATACCATCATTCAGGAATTAAGATGAAAGCAGCTGTAGATTGAGGTCAGTTACAGATAATTCAAGGCAACAGCGTTGAGTTTTGATGGCACCAGTGTAAAGGCACTTGTGAATAAACCACTGGACTCAATGAGGTCCCATCACTGAGCACGTGTGCCAACAGCTTCATTATTAAAACCTACGCGTTTGGGGGCATCTCATCTTCTGCGTGGGGGCTGCTGGGAAAATAGAGGTATGTACCTTAGAGGGAACCAGGTAGAGTCTCAGTCTATGGTGCCTCCGACTGTGGTACCTTATGAGTGTTCTCAGTCCAGCTGCAGGATTACTTGGGGTGGGAAGGACTGAATTCTTGCCTAAGGCTGCCCCGTCCCTGGCCTGGAGATGACTGCCACCTGCCCTGCCATCAGCTAAAACTGCTATAAAAACTACATTTCTGCATTATTTTGCCTGTTTAATTTCAGTCTAAAGCCCCTCCTTGTTCTGAACCCTCCTTGGTGAGGGATTTTTTTGTGAATAAAGAGAGATCAATCTCATTTCTCACAAGCCCCCCCAAGAGAAACAGGTGGGGTGGGACACTGCAGTGAGCCCAGCGAGCTCCATGGTGCTGCCCTGTGCTCAGAGATGGATTTAATGAGCAAGGGAAGGTTCAACACATGTTTAAGGGCTGAGCAGGGAGAAAGCCAGCAGCTGCACCTTGGCTGGACCGACCCTCCTACTTCAACCCCCTCAAAGTCAAACCCCAACTCCCTGGTCTTAAAACTGCTGAGTTTTTGAGCAGCATCTTGTTGGGCATGGGTGCTGTGACACCTGCACTGGCTGATGCCACTGGTTCCCTCAGGAGGGCCAGTGTGCCCACCCGCCATGGGGTCTGGCAGTGAAGGGCGGGAAAGCAGCCCCCCATCGCGGCCGGTGGCCGCTGTTCCTGTCCCTGGCCATGTGCAGCTTTCCAGCGTGTTGGTGGGCGCTGTGCCACCGCCTGAGCGCGGGGTTGGCACTTGTGGGTGGTGCACAGCAGCAGCAAAGTGCTGCAGCAGCCAGGAGGGTCCCACAGAGCAGCTGAGGGGTCATCACCCTCATTGTTGGGGATGATGACCCCATGGGCCCCTCACCACCCACTCTGCCCTCGCAGGTAACTGTGTATTTGAGGTTTGGCCACCTTGGCTTGTTTTGACCCTGGTGTCTGTTGGCAGAAGGAGGATGTTTTTGAACTCTCCTGCTGCTCATCACTGCAGCTCAAGGTGCTTTACCCTCCCCCACATCCATCCTACCTGATCCCCCTGCCAGCCCGGGGAGCCCCCAGCCCATGGCCGTCCCTGGAGCTGGGCAGCAGCAAGGCTGGGCCAGGTAACGGGAGAGCGCCAAAGGAAAAAGGGATTCATTAAACAGCATTAAACCTTCACACACCATTAAAGCAGCATCAGTTCAACGTGACTTGATTTACCACTGAACTGAATGAAAAGCACTTGAAATTTGGAGTAAAACTGTCTCCTGGGGATTTAAACTGGTTTCACTAACACACTTTAGATGATCATGCGGGTTCATCTTCCTGAGCATCCCTGTGCAGCCATATCCCTGCTCCCAGGGTGGGTAGGAGGACTGCCGGGCTGGTGGGCTCAGGAACAGCCTCACCAGGTGCTGCCATCCCACAGCAGTGCTAGAAACAAAACCCCAAAACCTTCCTGTTCAACAAATGTTTTGGTGTGTTTTGGGAGTAGCCATGCCCCACCTGCCCTCTTCACACCAGTGGGCAGGGAGGTCCCACAGCCCTTCCCTGCCCAAAGCTGCCATGGCTCCCCTCAGTCCCCAGCCCCCAGAGCCCCGTGATTTCTTCTCCTGCTGCAGGCAGAGGATGCTGAGCAGGTGGGGAAGGGACGGGAGGCTCCGCTCACCGCACACATCAGGGATTGCAGCTGAAAAACTCTCCCACCTCGTACCCACAGAGATTTTACAACCCGACACGGTCACACTCGCTCCCTCCTGGTAGAGGCGAGTGCTCCCCGCCAGCAGCCGAGACCAACAGAACGAGCCCTGCACGAGCCCTGCCCCAGTGCTTAATTACATCAAGCAGTAATTACTGTAATTCTATTCAATTGGCTCTCTAATAAAGTTACGGCTTCACTCGCATTCAGACCCCCTCGCTGTGCGGCACAGCACCGCTGCCCTGAAGTGTCACTGCTGGTTTCACAGGAGAGGTTTTGATTAAGTCTGAAATTATCTGACACATCGGGATCAGCATTTTTACATGTTTTAAACCACTGAGCCACCCGCTCACAGCGTCTCGGGGTCCGGTGCTGCTTCACTCAGGGCATCACGAGTACGAGCTGGTGCTGCTCCTGCGCCTGCTCCTGCACTCCCAGGGGTTTGGGTTTGCTCTGAAATGAGGAATTGCCACTCAGCAGCCCGTCCCCCGGCCCGCAGGATCAGGCTTTCAGCTACGCATAGAACTCACACGCACAGATTTAAAAAGCACTGACCATCCCCTGCTGTACACAATTAAAGCTTCCTTGCAGCAGGCCGCTCTACCCCGTTAACCGAGTTCACCCGCATGGCTGATGGAGCCCATTGGTAACGAGGCAAAGCAGGAACTCGCCCGAGTTCAGGAGCAGAACTTACGTCCATCACACCCACGTGCAGATGAGACTCGTCCCACAAGCAGCAGCAGCAGCACAAGTCTCAGCACTCGTACCCAGCCCTTTGCACTGCAGCACAGGAACTGAAAATGGGATTTCATGTGACACTCAGTCCTCCCTCTGCTTTGGGGAGACCGGGTCTTGCTTTCCCCCAGCAACTGCCAATGCATCCCTAAAGACAGCAATTAAGTTACAGCTGTTAATGATTTACTCTCCCCTACAAACCCAAATGCAATTCCCAGAGGAGCAGCAATTCTCAGGTACAGAGATGGGTGAGTTGGGGCTTTTGCCCTCCCGTCCTCCGCCACTGCAGGAGCTTCCCTCCAGCCCCCGTCCCAGCTGGGTTTTCAAACCAGCTTTCATCAGGTGGAACCATAATTTAATCTGTTGACAACTTGATGCTTTGGAATTTGTAGCATAAAATAAACCAACATTTATTTAAAAGCTAAATACCTATAAATTTGTCTGTGACTCTTAATATATGGGTTGTTTTTTAAAGCTCATTAACAGATTGCATTCTCGAGGGAGCATGTATGGATTTTGAAGAGCCACTGAACAGCCCAGGGGATAGAGCCTTGAAGAGAATTATATTAATACCAGGAGAGAAAAATATCCTATTGTATAAAATATTTTATATCTGTCTCCATTGTATAAAAGCACTTAATAGTTGTATATTAGACAACAAGGTCTTCAGCTGATCTATTCCAATTAACCCTCAAAGGTCAGAGCACATCAGCTCACCCTCCACCCAGATGCCTGTTTAGATGTTAAAGGCGTATGGAAATGGGTCTATAAATCAGCTCTTCATTATCTGTACTCAAGTGGCTAAAATGCTTGAAAACATAATAAATTTGGCAAAAATATCCCAAGAACTATTTAGCTTCATTCTGATCATCAGTTTGGTAACATGACAGCAATAACCTCGATATAGTAAATTATACGCTGATCAAGATAAATAAAATCATAACATAACACTGCCAAGGGTCGGCTCTAAAATCCAGATGCGTTTTAAAACATGAACTAGAGATCAGGCTGCTTTCCATTTTAATAAATGCTTTACAGGAACAGCAGCCGCGGCGCTGACCTGCGCAAGCGCATCTTCGCCAGTACTGGACTTTATTGGTAAGTGTAAAACACCCTGAAATGCATAACATTTAAATGAGACAGCAAAATGATACCTCGTAGCTATAGTTATCACAAATAATGTATAGTCCAAATTGCAGCCTGAGCAAACATTATTTGCTGGGTGCCTTTGGAAGCCCAAGGCGGGATGCAAAGCAATTATGAGGAATGAGCACAAAGCCCATTTGCATCTGAATACCGGGGAGGGGGAGCAGGGGCAGGCTGGGACCTGCTCCCTTCACAGCACCACAATACACCGGCTGGGAAAAGCAAGTTTATTAGTGTCCTGCAGCAAAATACAGGAGTCATTTGTAAGCAGGCATTAAAAATCTCCATCCAGTATCATACAGAAGTGATCAGCCACCTCCAGGATTGGATGTTTTTCTGGGTGCTCCCAGTAAAACACACTCCCTGTCATGCTGGGTGCAGAGACACGAGTTAAATCCCCTCGGAAATGGCGGGCGGTGAAGCAACTCACAGGTGCCCCGTACGCAGGGTGCCCCGTGCGCCGGGCACGTGTGGAAACGACCCGTCAGGCAAACAGCTCTACCACAGCCTGGGAAAAGCAGCATGACGTAACCATGTGCCACCGAGCACGACTCCAAACGTGACCCCCAGCAAAATCCAACCCAGGTGAGGGGATATTTTTTCCAGATGTTTTCCAGTTGTGGTCACACCGCTGCGGCAGCGCAGCCAGCACTGGCTGCATTTTCATACTCCGTTGAGCTTGTTCCCTCTCCACCCCA